CCCCCCCCCATTCCCCCTTCTTCGGATCCAAGCTGCACTACACGCTCTATACGGCCTCGACTTCCTGCTGGACCATGCCGAACCGCGGGGCAAACAGTTTGGTTCACGCACGTCGGGGGCGGGGACGGGGGCGCGTGGCGTCCCTCGAGGACATACCTCCCTCATCGATGATCACCGCCGCCGCCGCGCGTCGCTGGATCATCCTTGAACGCGCGCACGTAATGCGTTTGCCATGCACAACTACACACGGGTTTGAAGAAAAACTTGGCGCGCAAGCTCCAACATTATTGGCGCCAAAACAGGACAAGGGAAGCGCGACTCGCAAAACAGGACTTACCGTGGTGAGTGCGACGTCGGGGTCGTAGTTGGGCGTGTGCAGGAGCGTCGGCGGCATGGGGAACGGCGTGGTGCCGACGCCGGGTATCTCGTTGGTCTCGACGCTGAGGCTGTCCATGGGGTCCAGGCCGCGGGGTGCGGGGGTGGTGCCCGGGGGGCCCGGGGCCTGGGTGGCGGGGAGCGCGCACGCCACCGCGCCGAAGGTGGCCAGCCTCATCATGGAGCACACCGGCGAGGACGTCATGATGCGTCCCGCCAGCGACACCGTCGCGTTCATCGTGGGCGATCTCGGGCGCGCCGGGCGGCGCTGGCTGCTGGGAGAGGGCCTTTCTGCGGACGCGGAACAGAGCTCGGCGGCGGCCGGCCGGGGACTGAGGAGGCCTGAGGTCAGGTCAGGCTCGGGGGCGGGGCCGCGCCCGGGCTGCGCCGGCTGCGCCCCGGCCCGGGGGACCCAACGGGGGACCCGATGCGCCGGCGGCCAGTTGCATCACCAGGCGACGCATGCAGATGAAGCAGTCCACGCTGACGGTCTCGTGACGAGGCGGGGCGCCACCGCCCGTCTACTCCGTCTACTCGCGGGCCTCGCGCCAGACGCGGCTGGCGCTGGCACTTCCCCGCCGTGTCCCGGTGGCCGCGGGCGGGGCAGCGGCAGCGGTCTGGCACGGGAGCAGGGCTGCTGGAGCTGGAGCGAGCTGGAGAGCGTCTCGTCGCGACGCGAGTCTCGCCGCTCCGACTGGAAGCAATGACCGTCCCGCCGGTCACGTCGCGACGGCAGACCCAGAGGTACTGGGACTGGTCGGGCGGGGCGGGGCACAGCTGGACTCCCCCTTCCCTTCCCCACCTTTCTTCCAGCCTTGGCCGTGACTCACACCATCACACCTTGTCTTGGCCCGGCCGGCGCGGCGCGGCAGCCTACACAGCAAGTGAGTGTGCGTGTGCGCAGCGCTCCCACTGCAGTCATATGGGCAACGTCCAGTCGTCGGGAAATAATGTTTACGTGTAATCGCGCGAGCAAAAAGTATGAATGCGCGCATGAGGGCTCGGCTCATCGGGGACTCAAGATTGAAGGGCTGGATATCAAATATTAAATAGCGTCTAACATTTTATTGCAACAATGAACAGTACAGGTAATACACAGGTAGTTCATAACTGTGATTCCTTATCATATCATCCTTGTGCGGGGTCCACTACGCACTGGGAAATTTTCACCCCTTGAACGTCACAGAATTGGCATCAGCTGGGATGTCTAAGACGCAATGCAAAGGAATAATTTGGAGGGATTCAATCAATTCGTTTAACAAAATTACACAATAACGCTTGCACTGCCAGCAGCACTCTAGGACTAGGTTTTTCTTATGCACTACAACACATTTATATCTTATAATTGATCAATATTTGGACAAAAGGTAGCTATTATACTTTATCTGGTTTGTGTAGATATTGTGAAACTTGGTACAATAAAGGCTAAACAAAAGTAAACCAATATTTCCTCTTGTTTATAATTTCCACAATATTCTTTACCTAGATAAGTACCACTGCCAGAAAGGGCAGGCTTAGGAAAATGCAATATTGAAGTTAAAGGAAAGTGACATGACATTGCAATCAATCACATAAAATCTTTCTCGTAACTTTGCAGTTATTTTGGATTGTGGACTCACATAGATAAAATTAAAATTAAAATCATAAATATATACAAATTTAAATACAAGGAGAAACAACATATAAAAAATGCAAAGTCTATGAATTTAACATTTCAGAGCAGAGTGCCTACCTGTCTGATGGGTAACTCATAACATAACTCATGGACGGTGTTCAAAAACTACATTCCAGTTTGGTTGGCCTCAGATGAACCTACCTATTTCAATCAACATAATTTTTCAAACTGTTAGGTAATAAGATGACTTAGTTTTCATATATGAAAGCATGCTAACACAGACAAAAATTTGTGTGTCCTGATGCATAAAGCATGTTAGTGTAACTTGGACCGCAATGAAGCAGAACAATACTTCTTATTGTCAGTCACATTGTCTTTTACATGTACATTACAATGTACCTGTTCTAGCTTTGGAAGTTAAATGTCAGATGTCATTTGTCTTAATTTTACATAAATCGGTAGTATAGTATTTAAAATCTTTGATTGAACTATAATGTAATACTGTTCAGAATGCCCAATCTACACTGAACTTGTAAAAGTGACAGAAAAAAATAAAAGAATTCCTGGACTACTAAGAAATTCACAAATTTACAAACACCTTCAACTATCACAAAGGCACTATCACAGATTACCAACCTAGAGAGCCAATCTTCGACCAAAGGTTGTCATGCCCGAATAATTTGGAATGAAATGGACAAATACATATTTTTACACTGTCTAAAGAAAAATTTTAAAACACAAACAATAGGCATTATAAGTTGAAGACATTCAATTTAAATTGCTTAGAAATCAACAAGTAATAATTGACCCTTAATAAGCTATAATTGTGACTTACAGCATTAACTTTAAAGCAATATAAAACTGACAGTGAACTAAATTCAGGGCTTCACAAGTCAAGTTTAAAGATTTTATGGAGATTCAACAGAATTGGAGCGTAGAACTTCTCTATAGCAAGGTCGACATACTGGAACTTCCCTCTGACTTAAGTGTCCAGGGAGGGCTGCATTCTTATCTATACACCTTGTGCAGAATACATCTCCACATTTCCAGCAATGATACTAAAACAAAACAAAACAAAAATTCAAGTAAACTTTGAGCAGCTTAGAATACAGACAGAATACAGTTACATCATTAAAACTGACCTTCCGACTGAAGTGATCAAACGGAGTGGAACATGAACATTCTTCAATATTCCTCAATGTTTTCCAATCAAGGGCAACTGACTTTACTTCCTCAGAAAGCTGATCCGCACTAGCCAAGTTATTAAGTCCTGTAATAAAAGTATTTTTCAAACAAGGGAAAATGACAGACCTCACTACGGTACATAAAAATCATTATAGTAAGTAGTAGAGTAGACAATCACCATTTTCATATGATGCACTTAGGGGATGAGACGTAACCTTCACCAAATCTTTGCCTTCATAATTTGGAGATTTAACATCTTCTTTGATTTCTACCTCCTGCAAAAATGAAAACAGTGAGAAACATTCACAAACAATAGTGATATGGCTCACAAAATGAATGTACCTGTTCATAAAGATATTTGTTATCAACTACAGTGTCAGGAGATACAAAAGATTTCCTTTTCTCTGCACCATCATCAGCAAGTTGCTGCTTCAATGCAGTTATTCTCTGTGAAATGATAGAAAAAATATTCGTGAAATTTAAGATCCAAGATAATATTTCCAGACTGAAAGTAACCTATACTACCGCATTACCTTCTGTAGAAGTTTGATGTGATCCTCCAATGAGCTACTATGGTCACATGTAGCAAGCAATAAATCTCCCAGAGGTTCACGTGGATGAACATCATTTTCAAACCGACAATACATGTCACGCCAAAATCTGTTCATCAAATTCATTTTTGAAGAATTGTTTTTAGAAAACAGCTTGTAACTGAAAATAGAGAACTTTCAAAACTCATCTTACCTTATGGTTTGAGGAGCAAGGTTAGGAATGAGAACTCTTGAACATGATTCAGGTGAGTACAAAGGATTTATGTACTCATTTTGATGATTAGTCATGTAATTCCAGAGGGAAAATGTACGCTCACTCAAACGCAGGTCTATCCGGTCCTTTTCACAATTTCCAATGAATGTGCCATACTGACACGATGATACATTGTCATGGAGTGTGAAGAGAAACTGTTCATTGAATTCAAATGCGGCAGGCTGCTGGCACATGAGTTGCCAGGTGCAATCAATGAACTGAGTAAAAACAGGAGATATCTCTTTGGGATCACCAGCCACATGACCAATCCTTTCACTGAACTTGTGCCCAAAAGCTAACCAATCCTTCTCAATAAGAGCCTGTTAAAGAAGTAATTTATAAAGGTTACAAATTACACTATACCAAAGGGCAAAATGCTTATCTTATGTCTGTACTTACCTGATAGCCCTTGATAGTACGGTAGTATGGATCTAACATCAATGAAGATAGAGAGCATACTTGAGCTGTTCGGTCCCAACCATCAGAACAATGAACAACGACACTCACTCCATCGTCAAGGGCTCGAGCAATAAACCAAGATGTATCCATGATTGACTTGATATGCTTCAGCCAACCACTGGACTCCAAGCCACTTAAAAAATTGTTCATTGATGGTGATTTCAGTTCACAAGCTAAACAGGTTTAAAAATAGTTATTTCAATTCCCATAAGAAATATGAACAATATTTGTTAAAAAAATTAACAACTTACTTTCTAAAAGTTTTGACTGACTAGCCCTCATTACATGAATGTTTTCAATTCCCAGAAAATAAAATTTTATGTTTTCATAAAAGTTTTCATTTTCATAGCCTTTCCCAGCAGCTTTATTTGCCATAGCATTTATCTGGAATATAGATTAGAAATAACAACAAAGAATACAGAAAGGAACAATCAAGAATAATTTTGTGGGACTGAGGACAAAATCATCATATTCTACAGATAACTTACCCTTGGTCTAGTGTCTACTACATACATATAAGATGAGTTAGGATTGGTACGCAAAATACAATTCAGCATCTGCTCATCTTCCAAACAGCGAGCACTAAATCCAGATAAAGGTTGACTACAGCGACAAAGAGCAGCCTTTAAAAAATATATATAAATTATATTGATGTAAGGAGTACAGAACAATATTCCAAAATATATCATAAAACACCCTTACTTTGTTGTGGTTGAGGTATGTCAGCACTGGTAGACGTCCCTTACTACGAAATTGGGAGCTACCTAGAAGAATATTGCTTGACGCAGATTGGGGTACATATAAATTGCGGGGATAGGTGTCACAGAGCTGCAGAGACAAAAGAGTGAAAGTAAATGTCATTAGCTGGTAACTATAGTGTCAAGTAAATATGTAAACAGTTAACAAACTAACATCATATTCTTTGTTAAGGAGGGTGAGGCTCCATTGGTCATTTGGTACATTTATTCTTTTAAATTCCAATTGCATATCAAATGTGTCCCAGCCAGTTGACTTTGGCATTGTTTCTGAACTTGACAAGTAATTGAAGCAATAAAGATCTTCCATATGAACTGCAAGAAGAAGTATAATTAAATGTTGTTACTAAAAAGGCAAAATTAACTCATTCCACTGTTGAAACTATTTTACCTGGTTGACTGAGCTGTTGCAGAGCTGTGAAAATTTCATGACAATCTCTTTCTCTGGGTAGAACAAATGTTACAGAGCGGAATGTCTTGCATCTTAGTTGTAGGGGGGATCCAGCGGTCGATAGTGGAAGTTTCTCAACACTTCCAATGTGCATGTGCAAAATCTGAGAAAAGAGAGGGAGTGGTGAAAATATAGAAAAACAATTAAATCTGACTAAAGGTAATTTTTGTGAGCTATCGTTATACCCATGTCTCCTTCTTGTTCTCCGAGTCGAAAAACATGAGATGCGTCGTGGTGAGGAACAGGTTTCCCAGAGAGGGCTTCCTGATGTTGTACCGGTCAAGCATGCGCACATTCTCGACCTGAAACATACACAGCAAATAGCAAGTTAAAACCTTGCTGGCGTCACTCAAAACACGCCGGAGCGCTGGAGTCACTGGAGTCCAGCCTCCACCGCCTTTTGCTCCGGGCACATCAACATTGGGGGGTGGGTGGAGCGGGTGGCGGGCCAAGGCCACTCCCAACAGTAGCATCCCCAGCCTCAGGCGCCACCCCGGCGTGCCGCTGCGCGGCTCCACCCATTGCTGGACTGGGTCCCTGGCATCTCGTATCTTGTCCATCGGCGGAGGAGATATAGGGTGCGGGGGGAAGAGGGGGGGGGGGGGGGGGGGGGGGGGGGGGGGGGGGGGGTCGGAAAAGTAGAACGTCAACTTGGCGCCACAACTGTTTTCAGCTGGGCCAGCCCAAATTCTTTGAGGGTGGCATCCTCTCTTCATACGCCGCACTGTTCCTACGGCGAACAAAAGTAGATCACCCACTCCCACAGAATGCGTCAATATGCATAAGACAACATAGGAATAAGACTCACGACCCCATAGAACATGTACAAATGTCGTCTACTGAGAGTAATATTGACAAAACCAGATCTCACGACGTCAATTTAACTGTGTACAATCAGCAGCCTCTAAACAAGTCTCGTAGGTCTCACGCTTTTTACTGTAGGACACCCTGGTTTCGCAGTCAAAACTGTTACAGTCTCACTCGAGTTTCCCAGTGTGCTTAGCGAGTCAACTAATTGCGAGAATGGCTGTCAGTGTTTACGACGCTAGTGGCTCCAGCCCAAAGTGCTGACGTTACAAGAACCACAGAACCACCCACGATATCAGATAAAAAAACTGGTGCGACTAATTGGCTTTGAATTTGGTGGGCGGCTCCAACCGCTCCGCCCCCATCCACCCGCCCCGCCGTCTGCCGACAGGCGCACAGAGGGGCTCGCCCCGCCTCGCCCCGGCGCCGCGCCCCGCCTCGCCCCGCTATCGATTGACACGCCAGACCCCGACCGGCTCCCAACCAGGGTATCGCGGTAAAATATTGTACCCCGCGAGGGTAGTACCCGGTGGTATCTCACCACTGTGAATGCATCACATTCTATGATGGAAACAAACCAGTGAGGGTTTTCACTAAACTAAAATACAGCATAAAATTGGCTGTGATACTATTGCGCTCACTGTCAGGACTGCTTATAATTCAACTATATCAAGGCTGGTTCAAGAATTCTCGAATGTGCAGTTTGCTTTCCAGAGTAAAGGTCTCGGTGTGGAGTGTGCACCGGGTGGCTGGAGCTCGCGCCGGAGTGCCAGCAGCACGCAACACTGAGAACGCAAGTGCGTAAATGCCACACCCTTGTTAGGTGTGTGGATGCCCCTTCGTTCACTTAAGGAGCCAGAAGTGTGATTTTTTTTCCTTGAAATTCGCACACTTTCGCCTCCGCGTGTACGGATGGCGTTCAAATAGTCAATTGCCTACGCATTCACATTGTTCAAGAAGTTCTTCGCACCTTACCAAGAAAATTGTTCGTAACGCTGCAAAGAATTAGTTCGTAACCTTCCAAACTTTTTTCTTCGTAAGTTGAGAAGAAAATAGTTTGCAATGAAGAAAGAAGAAATAGTGAGCAATGCAAACTTCATTACAATTCTTCAAAATTCTTAGCAAGAATTTTGAAGTATGGACGGGGCAACCGGATCACCTCCTAACGAGGCGAACAACAAGGCGAGCAGAGCACTGCGAGCGGCGCGCTTTCCGTCCAGCCAGCCGCCAGCCCTCCACCAACCCCCGACCACCGCGACGCAGCAAACGTGACCAGTTTGGGGCCAGAGGGTAATCCGACCCTCGGGGAACACGAGAGATCACTCCCCTGCGGCCGTTCAGAGCCCCCCAGTCGGGCCGGCAGCGGCCCTTCTCTGGTGGATCATCATCAGTGGGGTCCCAGAGCCCGGAGCCCCCTGGGATCCCGCAGTGCCCAGTGCCCACCCCATCCACATACAGGCAGGCGGCCCTGCCGAGTTGGAAACCCTTTTAGACTTCACTCTGCCTGCAGGACAGCAATGTAGAGGCCGACCTGAGAGCCGAGCCCCTAGCCAGTGGCCGGGTAGGCAGACCCACCGGACCGGGCACGCCCGCGGGCGGCGGGTGGGCAGACCCGCCGGACACGCGCGCGGGGCGGGTGGCCTACCCTCGACCTCGCAGGCGTTGAGCCCCTGCCTTGCGGCCGGGTGGGCAGACCCGTCGGACACGCGCGCGAGGCGGGTGGCCCACCCTCGACCTCGCAGGCGTTGAGCCCCTGCCTTGCGGCCGGGTGGGCAGACCCGTCGGACACGCGCGCGAGGCGGGTGGCCCACCCTCGACCTCGCAGGCGTTGAGCCCCTGCCTTGCGGCCGGGTGGGCAGGGCAGACCCGCCGGACACGCGCGCGGGGCGGGTGGCCCACCCTAGACCTCGCAGGCGCTGAGCGCCCCACTACTAGTACCGCTCTGCCGCGCTGTTCCGCCAGCCCCTCCGGCCCCTCGGCGCATCCTCCCCCGTAAAAAGGGGCGGAGGCTTTACGACCGTGTTATGAGCGTCCTAAGTGCGGGCCGGGGGCGTGGGGCGTCCGGATGAGGTAGCAGAGAAAGGGGTAAATATTTGAGGCTGACTCGGTACAGGTTTACGTGCTACCCCGACACAAGGCCACGACGAGCATCCAGCCATGTATAGCGCAGGAGAGCAGCTCCTCCAGTGGGTGGCGCGGGAAGAGAAACCGTTCATCAAAAGTTTTTTTTATGAACCCGACCACGGGAAATCTCATTCTCAGTGCGGTGCCCCCTACATCCGCCCGGTCGGGATGGGGTACTCTCCCATGAGCACCCCAGAGGCCCCTGCGCCCTGCGTGTCTTGCGCCGGCGAGGCAAGGCGAGCGCGGAAATGGCGCTGAAACAATGTCGCTGTATCCCCTAAGGCCCGAGGGGATGCAGGTAATACCCGTGATGGAAAAAGAGGGAGGGGAGGGAGGGGTGGTCGTGCGGGCGCATGGAAACCGAGCACCTGCACCCACCCTGCACTCGCCAAATATGCTAACGCTAAATGACTAACAAGGGAACTTTTTCAGGTGTAAATTTCAGATTTCATTTGGAAAAATTAAAGGTTATTTATATAGAAATCTAATGACACTTGAAACCTTTGTCCGTTTTGCTCTATTTTGTACCGTTAAGGCGGTAGAGTGATATTTGGGACAGAAAGCAGTGTAAGGCTTAAGTAAACCCATGTTAATTGTGAGGTTGAGGAAAATTTTCAAGTGGCATCCGATTTCTAATACTTTTAAAATTTCCGAGTTTCAACGAAATCGGAGAGTATACAACTGAAAAGGTTTCCTTGTAAGGGCAGCGCTTTGTAACTAAGTGCACTCTAGAGCCACGAACATCTCGCGTTCCTGGAGTTTGCATCCCTAACCGCATAGGCCAGCGCTAGCAGGCGGCGCTGCGGTGGCGCACTACACCCCTCACTAACTGAGCTGCGCCACGGGCCGATTGAAGTCTGAAATATGGTTCTCAATAGATATATACATGCATGTGCTAAACTGGTATTTATTTATACTCTGGAGGGGAGCGGCGCGCCGCGCACGGCCGCGCATGGAGGCGGGGATATTCCGGGACATCGGCAAGCGATATACGAGAGGGATACAGGCACTGATAATACCTCGCCAAAAATTTGATCGTGCTGCGAAGGCCGGCTGCTTTCGAAGGCTATTTGGTAAAACGATGTATGATTTTTTTAAGGAAAAGAGAGGGAAAAGAACTTTGAGGGACACCAATAATTTATGGAAAAATTCTCTACAAAAATGTGTGAATTTCCCACAATCATTAAAAATGAGGTGTCCCCAAAATCTGAGAAGTTTCTTTCAAACGAAAGAAGTTCCTCAAAATTTCTCCCTTTTCCTCAAAAATTTATGATTCGTTTTCACCGTGCTACAAGCTACAGGTGATTTTATCTTATAGGAATCTTATACGCAATACAAAAGGACATAGTTCTATCGCAATTACAAAACAGCCCCCATCAATCGCAATAAGGCCCAAGCAGGGGCCCCAGTGGACACTTGGAGTGCTGCCCTCTTGGGGTGTCATGGTGGTGGACGGTGATCAAAACGGTGATACACGATTAGGGATCGTTCAAAGAGTGCGCGCCTAAGTCTCAGATTTATTCTGCAACTTACGGGAGCTCAGCGCCTGCGAGACTTGGGGTAGGCCAGCCCGCAATACACGCACGCACTGGAAGCAGACTGTTGCCTACCTATTAGGCGGTATGAGAGCTTGCACGCACAGCCTAGAAACTTCGTTGCAAATGCCCCGGAAAAAGAGAAAAACGTGACAAGCTGCTCACGTCATCGGTCATCCCGCAACCCGAGAGAAACTGCCATCATGAAGCACGGTGTGTGTCACGCACTGAACATGTCCTCTGCAGTGTTGGAAAGTCACTCACTTTATAATTGTAGAGGAGAGGGCAATCAGTCTAAGAATCATGCGTCCACCAGCCAAGAATCAACGGAATTCACAATCGACGAGAGTCATGCATTATGGCACTTTTGTGTGCACCTAAAAAGGTGGGCTAGTGATTGCTCCCTCGACAGCATGGCATTGAGCTACGCGGACCTCCTGAACGTCGGTGAGTTTCGCAGCATTCGAACACAACTACCAATCCGTGTGTACCTTTCTGGTGACGGGCTCCCCGCGACAGGTCTCGGGCTGGTCGCTGGTATCGGCGAGGATCCACGACCGGATGCGCCCATACATTGACGGCGAGCCGGGGATGTTGGAGCACGCCGTGGAGGACTGGGTCGACGAGGACGTGGTGGACGACATCGACGCCACCGAGCCCCTCGGACCGCCCGCCGCGCCGCCCCCGCACTGCGGGCCCGGGCCCAGAGGCGACTGAAGGGGCGTCGGCGGGTTCGACGGCGTGCTCGAGCTGGACAGACAGCCCCCGTCGGGACCAGGACTGCCCGCGGACACGGGGCCGGACATGGTGGACACGCTCGCGGGACGCTTCAGGTCGGAGCCGAGAGCATGCGGTCCGCGGAGCTGCAGCAGCGAGGGCAGCTAGCGCGTGGCGGGTGCGCGGGGCACACAAGGCCGTGGTAGTCAGCTGGGACGCATCCCTCCAGGTTCCAACTCCGCACGCGACCCCGAAGGAAGGCGCAAAACGCAGAGTAATGGTCTCTCGAGGTCCTTGGCGACGAGGGCGCCGAGAAGGGGCGCGTGTCACACGGCGCCAGCCAGCCTGGACGTGAAACTGGAGCCGCGACGCGCTCGAGTGAATCAACGACGCGGCGAGTGGGCGTCGCGACGGCCTGGTGTCCTCCACGCCACCCCTGAGACGGCAGCACCGCCAGCGCCGCGCCCCGCCCCGCTTCACCACGCCCGTCCGCCTGTCTGCCCAGTCCAACCCCGCCAGGAGCGCCTCGCCCCGCCCCGCCACCACACACAGCGGCCCGCTATCGACTGAACCGAGCCGAGCGCCCCGAGCGGGGCCTAGCCAGCCAGCCAGCCAACCGCGGGGC